TTCCCTTGAGCCTCTTTTATAAGGACACTAGTCCTATTCCTGAGTCAGTGCTCTCAAGAACTTACCATCTACCAAAGATCCCACCACCACATACTATCATATTGAGGATTAGGTTTCAACATATGAATTTGTTCTTTTTGATGGGGGGACAGAAACATTCAGCCCAGCCATAATACCTACAAAAGGACAGAAGGACCAATACCTATCCCATTTAATCCTCACGACAGCCCTATGAAACTAACATGTTTACACCCTCCTAGATAAGACAACTGTAGCTGGGGAGACAAAGTGAATTGCCCAAGGCCATAAAGCTAGCAAATAGTGGAATAGGAACAAAGCCTGGGCTCTCCCTGATCTGATACCTGGAGCTGGGAACCAGAAGCCATCAATAAATGAGAGAGACTCTGGGCTAACACTGCTGCCAAAGGGAATGTTGCCTCATAAACTCTACATTGGCGTGCATCTGGATTCAGGCTTCATTGCAAAAGTATGGGTTTTCTTGACACTTTCTTTTGTCTCAACACAAAAGCTGTATGGTCTATTTGCCTGTGTATGGTTATAAACAGCAGTCCACCAGAGTCCTTTTCATTGTCCTCCTATATTCACTGATGATAGAAGCCAGCACACATGAAAAGACTTTTTTTTATGGGCTTCTCTAGAAACTCTTTACTTCTCATCTTTCTTTCACATTCCTAACAGCTTTTCTCCCTTTCTTATTCACCCTTTTTCTTTATCTATTACCCAACATCCAGGCATTTAGTTTTCCTCCCACCTGATCTTAACCTATGGGAAATATAATAAAGTATTTTCTTAAGCAAGACTTGGTAATATGTTGAGTGATTTATCGTTATAATCCAGGTTAGAAGTTGGGGCCTAATGACACTTTCTAACTCTACTTTGGCTGAATTGCTGCAGTCAGTTATTTCTCAAAGTCTTGACTAACCCAGATGATAAGTCTTAATTGCAAATTATTCTAATTTCATGTTTCTTTTATTTTGACATTAGTGACTTGACTGCAGAGAAATAAAGAATAATTGTAAACTAAAGTGAAGCCCAACAAAGAATTCTATTGACTGTGTGACCTCATCAGAGGAAGTGGCCACAAACTTCTTTTTTGTTGCCTATTTCTATTTTTCTCTTTGTAACAGTGGACCTTGCTGAAGGAGTCCTTAGAAATGTCCAGTTTGCATAAACCAAGGCCCAGGATCAACAGATGATTAATGTAGGTAACAACCCTAGGCACCTATACTTTCCATTCCGAGTTAATTCTGTGTTCTCAGAGGCAAAGCTAAGAGATAAGGTCTTGAATAACAGTGACATTAACCATTTTCTCAAAGGCAGGATCCATTGTTTGATAATACTGCAAGCTTCCACTGCTTCCTTCCAGCACAAATCTTGGTTCTTCTTGTTTCTTCCACACTCCTCACCTCATTCTACTCCACTGGGACAGCCCATAATTTGGGTTACCAGTAAAGGCAAGGTAGTATTCTCAACATCCTTGTGACAAATCCTAAATTAATGACATTTAGAAGAAGCCTTAACATGTATAGCAGGCAAAAATATTCCTTCAACACACACACACACACACACACACGGATTGAGAGAGTGTGTGTGTATGCGTGTGTGTGTAATCATTGTCTTTAACACTAAAGGCAATCTTTCTATAATCCCTTAGTGGCACGACCTGGTAAGGAAGACAGTGGCACCCAGTGGACAAATGTTTGATTGTTTCAGACAGGTGTTCCATTCTGAAATATTCTCAAGAACTTTCTTTAGGAAATATCAGGTTCTTCCCTTTCCCTATCCTCTCATCCATGTTTTTAATGTCGACTTAAATTTTAAAATAGGGGACAGAGGACTGTTCTTAAAGTTTGTATCTTTTCAAGGAAAAGACTAGACTCAAACACTGGAGAAAGCAAAAATTTTAGGATTAAATCCTGTGACAACAGTGTTGATCAACCCCTCTCAACAGTAAAAATGAAGACAGCCAAATCTCATAAAATGCTCAAGTTAATTAAAAATATAATATCAAAAATGCCTGCAATGTGCTTTACATATCATACACTCCCTTTCCTCAAACCATGGACAACTTCCAATTAAACTCACTTGGTTATGCAAATTTGGCAACTTCAAGAACAATACTTTAGTACAATTAACACATACAGATCCTGCAACTTAATGCTATTGTGCAGTTTATCTTGGAGTCATATAAACACCTATTTTCATTCTTCATATCTTCCAATTTTTCTATTGTCTGTGAGCTACTTGGGTAGAGAAGCTCTGACTTATATGTCTTTCCTGCAAAACACCTAACCAGCATCTTACTTATGGTAGGTACAAGAAGGTTGTGAAATCCACTTTCCATTTTATATATTTAATCTGCTATATTACTGAAAAAAATAAATACATCTAATTGTTTGGTGTTATACAAAGAGATCATCCAGCTAAGAATCTTAAATATTAGGAGCTATCTGTGAAACTGCCTTTGTAAATTATAACTGAGGAAATTATGACAGTGAAAGAAATAAGACCTAACCGACTCTATCTTGCTTCTAACCCTTAAGCTGTCCTTGTTCATTCCTAGGCATAGGCCGAACCATCTGTGGGAAGGAATTCAGTTCATGGTTTTGACTCTGAAACAAAATTGATAACAGCCTTTTCCCAAAGACCCTGCTCTTGCCTGAGGTCCAATCTGCCCTTGCAGAACTGCCAAATTAGCTACAAAATTAGAAATTACAATTGAGGGGTCATGCAGCCTGTGGCTCTGAGAGTCTGAACCTCCCCAAATTGCTCCTGGGGATAACATCACTATTGTAAAGTTTAAGATCAGTGCTTCAGATATTTTGCAGACCCTGCACTTGATGGATCAGCTGACACCACCCAGCCCAACCAGTTCTGCCATCACATCCAGGAACAGAAGACATGAAGAAAACCTAACTTCCACCCACTATGATTCCATCTCCAACCTGACCAACCAGCACTCCCCACTTTCCGGTTGCCTCTCCGTCAAATTATCTTTAACAGCTCTGATCCCTGAATGCTCAGGGAGACTGATTTGAGTAATAATAAAACCCCGGTCTCCTGCACAGCCAACCCTGTGGCTCTGTGATTTACTCTTTCTCCACTGCAATTTCCCTGTCTTGATAAATCGATTCTGTCTAGGCAGCGGGCAAGGTGAACCCACTGGGTGGTTACATCTGCATTGGATAAAATAAAAATATTTCATTAAGAGCCAAAGGAATGGGTACTTTTTTTTTTTTATTTGAGATGGAGGCTCGCTCTGTTGCCCAGGATGGAGTGCAGTGGCGCGATCTCAGCTCACTGGAAGTTCCACCTCCTGGGTTTGTGCCATTCTCCTGCCTCAGCACCCGCCACCATGCCCTGCTAATTTTTTTGTATTTTTAGTAGAAACGGGGTTTTCACCATGTTAGCCAGGATGGTCTTGATCTCCTGACCTCATGATCCACCCGCTTCGGCCTCCCAAAGTGCAGGAATCGGTACTTTTATGAGTGAATTGAATCTTACTGATTCAAATGAGAAATCATTAAAAGTCATTTGATTACCCAAAAAATCCCATATACCTTCTTAGTGTAACCTAATCCCAGCAGGAGTGCCCTTTTTTAGTTATCCATTGAAAAATCCTTCCCAATTTGGAGACTCTGAAATTCTTAGTTTTTTGTTGTTGTTGTTGTTTTGTTTGTTTGTTTTGCTTTGAAATGGTACCTCATGTTTATCATTATATTCTTGGTAATTCTTAATTTTGCCACAGTTCGAGGCTTGTTTCTGTTTGTTTTAGGGGAAAAAAAAAAACCAGTTGGCAGGCTAGAGCTATGGCTTGAGGCTGAGATGGAAACTTTTCCAAAAGGGCAGCACATTTGTATTAACCGACACAACTCCCCTGTGACCCCTTGCATCAATCGCATTTAGTCAGTAAACAATAAATACATGCCAAAGTAAGGGATGCACCTGTTTTGGTAAGCTGAAAAAGAAATGAAGGGCATTTGTGTGTGTATCACTAAATTATATATTAATTATACTTTTTCTCATAACACAAGGCACCTTTCCTCCTTAGTTTCCGCTAAAATTCTGACGCAATTAGCTTTTACTGTACAGAGAGACTGCCTTTATTAAAAGTACCTTAAAATTCTTTTTTTCCAAAGTATCTAAAATATACTTTCATCTAAATATATCAATCCAGGAGAAATTAATGAACATTTCTAACATTGCAGGGCCTCCTCCATCCTTTTCCCTTCACTGACTGTCACCAAAAGAGAGCACTGGGGGACCCAGACTCCAAGCAGTTTGTCCTCTGGGGCCAAGCCTCTCTGACCGGGGGAAAGGCAACAATAGTTGCACTATTTGCAAAGTATAATCTTATTGGGAAATGTTCCAGCCCTGGTCTGAGCTTTACTGATACTAGTAAAGCTGGTTTACTGCCTCTGAAATCATGGACCTGCTGTACATGCAAAGCACTCTAAGGTGTCCAGGCCACCTGGTGCAGGCCAGGCTCCACTTATCATCTGCTGCTTTGCTTCTGTAAGTTTCAAAAACCTAAGAGGGATGTCAATATTTGAAAAACTCTCTTCTAAGTACAGTTTCCTAAAAATAAAAGAAAATTACTTCTGCATGACTCCAATAGGCTTTATTTTATCTTTGAGCTTGTCTATTTATAATGCAAATATGCTTTGCTTATTCAGGAAAACCATTTAGTTAAAGAAGGTTTGCCTAACTCATGGCCTGTGGTGAATGAAAGTCAAATAAAATACAAAGATGAAAAAAGTTTTAAAGACCGAAAAGTTCCATACAGACTACAGTAGGCACTGTTATGTCTAAAATGAATGGAATGCTGTGTGCGTGTGTGTGTGCATAACTGCAATGTGTGTGTGTGTGTGTGTGTGTGTGTATCAGTAGAGGCAGAGGTTAAAACATGTGTTTACATTTACACTTGCCATGCTGCACACTGAGGAACATTTGTTTCCAGTTCCCATAACAGGTGTTACCTGTTCAGATAAAGCTTTAGCCTTTTCTTCTGCTTCTTTCAGACAAGTCTCCAATGACTCAAGTTGGGCCAAGGTAAACGCCATCTGTCCAGTATCCAGGGACACTTTCTTTAAAAAAAAAAAATCAATTATTACTTTTTGACAGGGATCGTTTGAGCACATCTCAAACAATCTTATGGACTAATGATAGGCTTAATAAACTCACACAAATCCTCCCCTTTTCTTAACAAGGAAATAAAACGGCAAAATGTTTTAACAATAGTTTTATTTAAAACATAGAATGTAAAAAGAGTAAAAAATAAATGATGACAATGAACAGCTTTAGAAAGTTAGATTAAATAACTGTCATTGGAATTTGATTACTTTGAAACTTTTATTCTTACTTCAAAAGGTTAGGTTTAAAATGTCACATTCCTGATGGAAGATGTCACCTAGAATGCCTATGTTTTTAACATTCACCTAACAGTAGGAACGGAGTCAACAGAACTCAGAGAAACCCTGTTTCCTCTCATCTTCACCTTCTCAGCACATGTCATTAAAGCAAAGATACCACATGTTTTAGAATCAGATCATTCTTCCCCAGAGTCTGGCTAATATGACTCAAATTAGAAGATGTGTAGACTCTGCCTCTCAAAACTTTTCTTTTTCTTTTTCTTTTTCCAGGCAGAGTTTCACTCTTGTTGCCCAGGCTGAGTGCAAGGCCACAATCTTGGCTCACTGCAACCTCCACCTCCTGGGTTCAAGCGATTCTCCTGTCTCGGCCTCTGAAGATTACAGGCACGTGCCACCACGTCCAGCTGATTTTTATATTTTTAGTAGAGCTGTGGTTTCACCATGTTGGCCAGGCTAGTCTTGAACTCCTGACCTCGTGATCTGCCCACCTCCACCTCCCAAAGTGCTGGGATTACAGGTGTGAGCCACTGCGCCCAGACTCAAAATGTTTCTAAAGTTACTTTTCCTCAGCTACAAGCTGAAGAGTACACAAAATTGGTATGAAAACACCAGGTACAGGCCCTTGTGAGGCTAGAGCACTTCCTTGCTACTCTTTTGCTATTGTAATACTTAGTAATTACAAAGCAATACAAAAAGTTGAAAAACCTTGTACATGCTAGGATGATGACCTTCCTATAGTTTCTCCGGGTGCGTCCTGTTTTCTTGCGAATACCCCTGCTGCAGCTGCTTCCAATTAACCCCATAAAGAATTAACTGCATTCCTACATATCTTAAAGGTCTAACTTCTGTTTTATTTTTTTCCCTGTGGCTTATGAGACCACCGATTTTACATGTGTGCATTTCCTGACGATACAATAGAGCCATCTGGTGGTAAATGGAACCAGGCATAAAAATACAGCATTCATTCAGTTTCTGTACTTGTTGATACTATACATCGACCCTTGAGTCTCTGCCACTGGCCTCTGATATAAACAGAATTCTATGGGATGAGAGGCAAAAAAATATTTCTGCTTCACCAACAGCCTGGCTCAACAGTCAAGTTCTGCCACTACAGGGGCATATTCACCCTCAAAAGTTTGCCTTTAGGGAGGAACATCTTAGGCTGGAATGGTGATACTAGGAAGTGAACTAATTGTCCTCAGATCCCAGATGGTTCCAGTAATTTCAAAAATGGGTTCAAAAATTCTCAAAAAAAAAGCCTTTAAACAAAATTCTTGTGCATTTACACTTGGAGATGAATACATGCTGTAAGACGTTATATGCAGAAATGGGGAATTGTCATGAGGCCAAACTATTTTTAAAAGATTGGGAATCCCTGATCTAGACTTGTATTTCCAGGGAAAATTTTCTTGTTGAATGTTTGATCTCAAGAGGAACTTTTTAAAATTTGTGTGGGTAGACTCAGCAAGATCATCTAATCCATTTCTCCAGGGCTTCTCCAAACACCCAAAATTTCCCCAGCCGAGAACAACAAACAATTCCATAAGACAAAAGCATTATAAGTCAAAGCCAAATGAAACAGGCATAACTGAGGACTGTTACTAAATAACATAGGACTTTTTGTACAGACAAATTTAGGGAATTGTCGTGTGTTTTAGGACAGGGAAAGACCTGAGCAAACCGTGGATAATGCAAAGTCAGTCTTTTACACCCCCACTCCAGCTGTAGTGAGCACGCCCTGCTCTCTGACCTGCCTTTCAGCTTCTGCCACTCTCTTAAGGGAAAAAGGTTACACAAGAGCAGGCACTTTTTAAATAGGAGGTAACTCCATTAACAGAACAAAGGCAAACAAAAATGAAGTCAAGAACAATTTCAAAAATAAGTAAACACATGAAGATAGAGGTTTTGGAGGTGGATATGTGGTTTCAAAGACTAAAAAAGTTAGATGTACTCAGTCATTGTCCCAGTTTTGCAAGGTACAATGGCAGAAGGGCAGAAAGATAGGGCTTCCATTATTAATTGTATTTTACTTCCAGGTACATGTGGACACATGCAATTTGTATAAATAATGAAAATGAATATTCTCAGTGGTTAAAGTAGTTGCAAGCGAATTATATTAATCAACAGTCTATGACATCAAAATGATGAAAATATAGGCAATATACAGGTGTTTGGGAATTGAACCTGTGTATGGATTTCCAAGTGGTAAATTCCAACAATTTAATAATAATCCCCATTGTGAATTTCTACTTTTTGTCTTAAAATTATCTACCTAAATATAAAGTTATTATCTAAATACAGATACCTAATGTAGCCAAGATGATCAATCTAAGATGATACTAAATAACACTAAAAATTCAATAAACTCTTTGATTACAGTAAAGACACCTGACTATTATTATGCATGGATGTTGAGGTTGATAGTTTACTAATTGAACAAATCTTATATGACATTGTAAGAGTAGACTTCGTTCTGGTTGCAAAGGTTTCTCATTTGATAATTTAAAGGAAAATTTACATATTATTTTCTAATTTTATATTTCTTGATTTCTTAATCTATTCCAGTACCTTCTCATTATCCTCTACCTTGCTGTTAAGGCTTTATTTCTCCGTCCTAAAATGACAGCTATACAAACCCTTTGACCCTTAAGGACTGGCTCAAGGTTTCTGATTGATCCAACTTCATGTGCCATATCTAGAAATGTTCGTGTCTGCAGAAGCCAGACAGGACTTTGCTGAACAGTAAGTAGGAGCCTGATAAATAATTGTTGATTGATTAAAGGCTCGGCAGTCAATGAAGGTGGTTGTACCAGAACGAGCAGTCCTTCATGCTGAGAGGCTGTAACAGTGACTTCTTTCAGCAATACTTTTCATGCATCTGAGCTGGGACATTGACAGGGATCAGAACCACACAGAAGTTCTGCTTGCCATGGTCAGGGGCCAGACTGTGCAGATGAGGACAAGAATGTGGTCATGAGGCTGAGTGATGGTAGGGTTGTTGTAAGAACTGAATGAGGTAAAGCAGATAAGTGCTTTGACAGAAAGTGCTCAATACATGTTAATAATTCCATTATCCCAATTCCTTTAAAGAGAATAATTTGGTATTAAGACTCTCTAGCTTATTTTAAAACCCAAGTAAAAGAAAATACCCACGGGGACACTTTTGTAACAGCAAGTGATCAAACGGCAGTGGGAAATTCAGTCAAGTTTGTAACTAAGAACAGTTAATGTATTAAATATGTACACGCACATTTATTTAAGAGCAAGAATTTTTAAATAAAAGTGTGGTTATGGCAAATTTCATCTTTGTGGAAGAGCATTTTGACATAGGTCAGTTTTGGAGAATTCAGTGTCTCTAAAATCTGAAGCTTCTAATATATCAGGGTTCTAGCAGCAGCCCCTGCTCAGTGGTACAGTAACTTCCTTCCAGATAAACACATTTTACAAATATCCTGTTTGATATCTATTCATTACTGCTGCCCATTCCTCTCTCCTCTGCTTGACAGGCACCTATTACCCTATTCTTCCTTACCCTTCTGCAACCTACTCATTTTCTCATGCAGTGTCACGTCTTTCCCCAGCTGATCATCTTCTCCCCCACCCACCACCCATGCCTCATCCCCTCACTCTGGGCACATTTATTTCATCTCTCCCCACTGCCCTTTCATGATCAGAATTCACGTCACAGTGATAATTTCATCACTCTCATGTTCTTTTGTGTTTAGCGTTTGCAGTAGTTCCTTACACTAAATTGCCCATTTCTACTTAGGCAAATATTTAAAAACTCAATTTTCCTGGTTCTAATCCATTCCAGTGAAAACAGTATTCCTCTGTGTTTGGGTTTGCCTCAATAGTCACCTAAGAAGATATTTAAATTCAAAATGTGAACAAATTACAACTAGTTGTCGAAATGCCCATCAATATGGCTGAGCAGGACGTGGCTCTGGGAGGATGGTGGCCTGGATTGCGCATAGCCTAAGGAGCACTCTGCTTGTAATATGGAAGGTATGGTCTATATCTGATTTGATTCTAAGTGGTCATGTGACTTCAAACCAGCTGCTTCATTTGTCTGCATCTCAACATTTTCATCTTTAAATGAAGAATGTATTGATAAAGCCCCGGAGGAAATAGATGGCTACTCCAATGCAGAAACTGAGGAGCATTAAATGAAGGGACAATTTAGAAGGTGTGGGTAAGATTAAAGGAACCAACAAGGGTTGGTGAGACATTCCCTGGAAGTACAGGTGCCCTTTGCCTTATCTTGACCTGAAGAGGTAGGGGAAGAGCAAAACTGATAGGTCTAGAAAGAAAGCTTGAGGAGAGGAACACAGCCACGGCCAACTATGTCTAGGCAGTTGTGGTGGTTGGAGAGAAGTAGGGAGGGGAAACGAACCAGCGGAGTCAATAGTCTGACCTTAACTCCTCTCATCCCTTGTTCTCCTGTCTGTGTCTTTCTCGGGCTGAACTCAACAAGCCAGAGGTCAAGAGAACCCGAATAAATGTCCAGAGAGATCAGCGTTCCCTGAAAAGATGAGTTGGGAAAGGTGGGGAGTGGATAGGGAGGAGGAAACAAGGAAACTTCAGCCCAAAGAGGTTTAATTATATTAGTGGTTCCCAAATTCCACCACATAGATCAGTGTTGGTTTGTGATAACATTTGTGCCAGTCAGTAACAAAAGGACAAGGCAAACTTTTAAAGAGAACATTGTGAATTTT